ATATATATATACACTGCTCAAAAAAATAAAGGGAACACCTAAACACCACAATGTAACTCCAAGTCAGTCACACTTCTGTGAAATCAACCTGTCCTGTTAGGAAGCAACACTGACTGTGAATCAGTTTCACCTGCTGTTGTGCAAATGGAACAGACAACAGGTGGAAATGAGAGGCGGGGCAACAAAGCAGGACAACCCCTATAAAGGAGTGGTTCTGTAGGTGGTGACCACAGACCATGTCTCTGTTCTCATCCTTTCTGGCCGATGTTTTGGTCACGTTTCCATTTTGTCAGTGCTCTCACCCTTAGACGTAGCATGAGGTGGTGTTTACAACCCACAGAAGTTGCATTAGGTAGTGCAGCTCATCCAGGATGGCACATCAGTGCGAGCTGTGGCAAGAAGGTTTGCAGTGTCTCTCCGCACAGTGTCCAGAGCCTGGAGGAGATACCAGGAGACAGGCCAGCACACCAGGCGACGTGGAGGGGGCCGTAGGAGGGCAACAACCCAGCAGCAGGACCGCTACCTCTTTCTTTGTGCAGGAGGAATAGGAGGAGCACTGGCAGAACCCTGCAAAAGACCTCCAACAGGCCACTAATATGCATGTTTCTGCTCAAACTGTCAGAAACAGACTCCATGAGGGTGGTATGGGGGCCCCTTGTCCACCAGTGGGGCTTGTGCTTACAGCCCAACACCGTGCACGGAGATTGGAATTTGCCAGAGAACACCAAGATTGGCAGATTGGCCATTGGCGCTCTGTGCTCTTCATGGATAAGAGCAGGTTCACACTGAGCACATGTGACAGATATGACAGAGTCTGGAGACGCTGTGGAGAACGTTCTGCTGCCTGCAACATCCTCCAGTATGACCGGTTTGGTGGTGGGTCAGTAATGGTGTGGGGAGGCATTTCTGTGGAGGGCCGCGCAGCCCTCCGTGGGCTAGCCAGAGGTACCCTGACTGCCATTAGGTACTGGGATGAGATCCTCAGACCCATTGTGAGACCATATGCTGGTGCAGTGGGCCATGGGTTCCTTCTGATGCATGACAATGCTCGGCCTCATGTGGCTGAAGTGTGTCAGCAGTTCCTTGCTTCAACTCAAACTTTATCATTATATTTTTTTTTTTTTAGTTTTTTTTTTTTTTTTGTTCATTTGTTGCACAGAAGTGTAACTGTCCTCGGCATATGGCAGAATTGGCAGCATAAAGAGCATGAATTGGAGAAATATATTCATATATATAAAGAAAAGAAGAAATTGACTTTATATGAGTATACATCACTTTTCTTTAATATATTTCTAAATGTCTTAGATGCTCAGCCATTTCTACTCCTGTAATAACTACCTCTGGGTCTTTATGAAGGTAATCAGGACTTTGAAAATCCCAGAATGTCATTTAAAAACATTTAGTACTCTTCTGAAAGCTTTTCTTGAATCATGAAGACCAAAAAGTTCTATTTTGGTCTCATCTGACCACATAACTTTCTCCTATGAGTCCTCTTGATCATCCAAATGGTCATGGGCAAACTTAAGACGGGCCTGGATGTGTGCTGCTTTAAGCAGGGAACCTTCTGTGCCATGCATGACTTTAAGCCATGACATCTTAGTGTATTACCCACAGTAACCTTGGAAACAGTGGTGCCAGCTCTCTTCAGGTCATTGACCAGCTCCTCCCGTGTAGTTCTGGGCTGATTCCTCAGCTTTCGTAGGATCATTGATAAGCCATGAGGTGAGATCTTGCATGGAGCCCCAGTCCGAGGGAGATTGACACTCATGTTTAGCTTCTTCCATTTTCTAATAATTGCTCCAACAGTTGATTTTTTTTCATCAAGCTGCTTGGCAATTGCCCTTTCCAGCCTTGTGGAGTTCTACAATTTTGTCTCTGGTGTCTTTGGACAGCTCTTTGGTCTTAGACATGTTAGAAGTTGGAGGCTTACTGATTGTGTGGGGTGGACAGCTGTCTTTATGCAGCTAACGACAGGTGTGTCTAATCTAGAATATTAAGTGGAGTGGAGGTGGACTTTCTAGAGGCGACTAACAGGTCTTTGAGGGATGGAATTTTTCCTGATTGGCGGGAGTTCAAATACTTATTTTCAGCAGTAACATGCAAATAAATTATTAAAAAAATCATACATTGTGATTTCCTGATATTTTTTTTTTAGATTATGTGTCTCACAGTGGACATGCACCTACGATGAAAGTTTCAGACCCCTACATGATTTCTAAGTAGGAGAACTTGCAAAATCGCAGGGGGTTCAAATACTTCTTTTCCCCACTGTATATGAATAGCTGTAAGGCGACATTAAAGGTGCAGTAGAAGAAGAAGAGGCGCTGTCGGCGGCAGAGGGCGGTGAAGCTGCAGAGAAACAGGAGAAGAAGAAGAAGCTTCAGGAACAACAACTAACTGGAGCGGTGAGTGTCTGCTGCAGGTCACACGCCGTTATCATGAGTCCATGAATATGAAATTATCAGGTCTGTACTTCAGTTAAGTTCAGTGCTCAGTAATGCTGTTAAATGTCTAGAGTGTCTAGAGAAGACACTCTTGTTTTTGTTTTGTTTTTTTCCTTTTTTGCTGAACTTGATTATGGATTGAGCTCGCAGTGAACCAGCCTTCAACCTAGATCAGTTTATCAAGTCTGATTTGTGGATGTCATTGAACACATGGAGCCTCTAACCTGGCCGTTGCAGCCACAATACATGTCACAAACAGCCATTTACGGCGCTAATGCCACAGATTTAAGATGAAGTTATCGCCCTGTTAGCTTAGCTTTAGCCTAGCTGTGGACACTTGAACCCAATGGAAAGATTTAACTTGTGCCAAAGTGAGAAACTGACCATTTAGTGCTTGAGTTGCAACACAAAACATGATCGAGAGGTTTTAGAGCTCCCAGTAAAGTGTTAATATATCGGGCATTTTCAGTATTCACATGTAATTTTGAACGAGATACACATCTGTCATAGACACTAAGCATTAACACTGTGGTACTGTACAGCTGCAGAGAGGAAACGCTTCAACTGCAGCATGTCATCACTAAAAGTTAAGTACTTACATTACTGAAATGTTGTGTTTTATGATGCAAGTGAGCTAGTATCTCATTTTTAAAAAATCGCACAGTTGCATTGGATAGCAACTGGCTTCAAAATTCTTGTTTCACTTTGTTGACATTGTTGTCAAAGGTTTTCACAGACAGAAGTTTGGATTTATCACTGCACAAATCAGAAAATCTAGTCAACAGCTTGATTAAAAAACAAAAACATGCTTTTGCCATATTTTTAAGAATGAAATGTTCTATAATTTAGGCTGTGGGATATAAGTAAACAAACCTTTCTATAAAAACGTTCAGAATCTATACAGGAATAAAATGGAAGTTTGCTGAATGTCAGACCTGCTTTTAGATTTCTGATGCAGACTCAGGGAAAAGTTTTTATCTATCTTTCAGACCTACGAACAATTATTAGTTTATTTTTGCTCTTGTCACATTTTTCCTCACTGTCGCCTCATTTTTTACTAAAATACTGTATAAAGTCCTGCACCTCTATGGAAACAGCACAACCATGACTAGAAGGAGAGAGAACCCAGTAATGACTTCTGTGCAGGATGGCACACTTAGGATGAGAGAAATAATGACAGAAGGAAAAATAAAAGTTGAAAAATCTATGTTTTTTTTTTTTTTAATTGTACAAATATTGTAAAACCCTTAAGTCTACATGTCCAGTATTTTTCCAAGTGTTACCAACACTGGAAAAAATGGTGATTCTACATGTTCTAGATTTGAATTTGTTTTCATGCCCATCTCCTGTCTGTTCTGGGGGGAAACAGCCTGCAGTTGAACTGAAAATGCAGAATGTTTGTCATGTGACCGTTGGTCACAGCTGAACCAGTTTCTCTGAAAGGGTTCACAGTAAAGTGCAGAAGTTTGTAGTTTTTTTCACAGGATCTATTGCAAACAGTTTTTTTTGGCGCATTTTTTAAAAGAGACATTTGGAATAAAGTGATTTTGATGAAATATCACAATATTTGAATTTGGTTATGTTTTCCAACAGCACAGCACGTCATACAAGTTTAGTGCACAGTCACCATAAAGTTGAAGATCGTTCTGTTGTTACAGTTTATGAATCACGTAGTTTTTGTGATTTCACAACATGTCTGTCAAACCCAGCTTTTGGCGTTCACGGCGTTAGAGATTGAGTTGTCCTTTCTAATCACTTTTCCTTTTCAAATCAACAGGAGTACCGCAGAGATGAGCTGCTCCTTCCAGCTCCTGGTTTCCCGCTGCGACTTCTACCACAGACGTTTTCTTTTCGTCCTGTCTCGACAGTTGCTGTCAGTCAGGTCGCTCAGTGCCACTCCTCACATCAGCCGCAGCCTAAAGGCAAGTTACCGGCTTCTGCAGCTGCCTGATGAAGGTCACAGCAGTCCTGCACAGGTGAAAGAGGCCTACCTGCGCCTGGCCAAGCTCTACCACCCAGACTCGGGGACAGCAACAGCAGATGCAGCACTGTTTGCTCGGGTTGAGGAGGCCTACCGAGCCGTGCTGGCACATCAGAGCAAGACCAAGCAGCCTGATGGAAGCAAGGAAGATGATGATGAGGACAAGTCCAGAGGAGCAGCAGTTCAGCACAGACACTACCTCAGCTTTGAGGGCGTGGGTTCAGGCACGCCCAGCCAGCGAGAACGTCAGTACCGGCAGGTCCGCGTCGACCGGGCGTCAGAGCAGGTTCTGAACTACCGGCAAAGAGAACACGAGCGGGCAGCTGCGTCTGAAGGGGCGCTGGTGGAGCGGGACATGCGTCAGCGCAGCCACAAAATCAAGATCACTCAGGCTGTGGAGCGGCTTGTGGAGGACCTGATCCAGGAGTCTATGGCGCGAGGAGACTTCAGGAACCTGAGTGGAGCCGGAAAACCTCTCAACAAGTTCCAGTACAATCCATACGCTGATCCCATGACCCACAACCTTAACCGCATCCTCATTGACAATGGCTACCAGCCTCCCTGGGTCGTCACACAGCGAGACATCAGGGAGGCTGTCGCTCATGTCCGGAGCAGGCTGCTGGAGGGACGGGCTCGGCTCAGCGACCCCCTGACCCCCGCAGAGCTCAGCCAGTGGGAGCAGCTGTGTGTGTCTGTGGAGGAGGAGCTGGTGAAGCTCAACAAGATGGTGGACAATTACAACCTCATCGTACCGATGCTCAACATGCAAATGGTCCACTTCCGTTTGTCCAGAGAAATAGAGCGCGCCGTGAAAGGTGCCGCTCAGCGCCGACTGGACCAGCAGACGGAGAGAGAAAAGGAGCGAGAGAGGAGGAAGGAGGAGAAAAAAAGAGCCAACGCAGTGACAAAGACTGCAAAGAAGAAGCGAGGACTCATGTCTTGGATGCAGAGTTTGCTCAAATGAAGTGATCAGCTGTTGATTTATTTATTTCATTACAGTCCAGTTGTTCACCTGCATATTTGCACACATTTAGAATCAAACTCAGAGATAATGAAGCCTTTTAGTTATTTTTAGGCAGAAGGACGAAAGTTATTGTCTAAATATGCAGAACTGTAGTCAGAGGTCAGTACTACGAAGCAGGATTTGAGGTTTTTACTGTAAATTATTCTGGGTTTTCACGACCACGATGCTGGTTCACCTCTTACTGTCACCTTGTAGCTTATGATGAACTTCTCATCTTCTCTGGAGCAGATTATGTTTTGAGATCAACATGTACAAAAACCCACCTACTGACCAATCAGATGTCTTCCTGTGACTCCTGTGGAGCTCAGTGTGCAGGGAGTGAAAAGTCTCAGAAGAGACTTTTTTAGAGCTGCAAGCAATGGAAAAGAAATGTGAATGATATAATCCTAAAACAGAAACGGATTAAAGCATTAGAACTTTATGCCATACATGTTGACCTTATAGGATTTTCAGTAAAGCCTCCTTACTGGTTTGGGTTTTGTTTTTATATCTGTTTTTTTACTTGTTCCAGAACAGTTTAACATCACCAAGCAGCTGAAAGAATGAGACTAAAGTTGAGTTTTGAAGCGAGAACACTGAATTCATGCTCCGGATTGCCATGAAAATAGTTTTTTTTAATCTTTATTAGTGGATTATTTCCTCTTTACCCCCTGAACCTCAGAACCTGCTGACAGAATGAAAGCCTTGTTATTTTTAAAAAGTCACCAAAATGACACCATTTAGAATTGTGAGAATTTTCACTTTCCATCAGTCAACATATCGTTTGTGACTTTTGGTTTTGGTGGGAAAAACAACCACATTTTAGCTTCATCAAAATCACTTGTTTCATTTTAAAATTCACCAGAAATGAGCTGTTTGCAACAACCACATTCTGTAACAAAAAATACAAAAATCAGCAACCAAGAAGCAATGACAGACTGAGCTGTGATCAACAGTCATGTGACAAAAATTCATGGTGTGTTAAGGAGACAAATATTTACACACATTGAAAATATGCAATATCTATACTATTTAGACTCACATTTTGTCCAGTGTTGCTAGTACCTGTGGGGAAAAATGTTGGAAATATTGATTACATTTATGATTTCTGTCTTTCTAACTGTCATACTGCACAGAAGACATTTCTGAGTTCTCCCTCCTTATGTTCATGGTTGTGTTGTTTCCACTGAGGTGCAGGACTTTATATTGCAGTTAAAAATGAGTCCACAGTGAGGAAAAATGTGACAGGAGCACAAGAAAAAGAAAAAAAAATCAGAAGCTGCTACTTGGAGTTCAAAGGATTAAATATTTTGTGTGTGATTTTGTTTTACAAGTTCTAAGACATAACAACATACTAAAGCTAGAATAAGAAACCAACATCCAAGCAGCTTTTACACACTTGTTGCTGCGGTTTGTGCGGTTACGTGAGGCTGGATAACAAAAAGATGTCCTGGGTGTGTTGAACTTGTCTCATAGAAAAGCACCAAGAAATCAAAGTGTGAGGAAGTGCTGGAAGTTGTTTCTGTGAAATTACTGATTTGAAAATACAAACCCTGTAACTTTTGGTCGCTGTGTGACATTAAAAGTTAATTAAAGGAAACTATGAATGTGGAGAATGTTCTGAACGTCTGCTTCTAGTCTGGCAGTTGCTCTTGTGTTGCAGGATTGCAGATGACGACGGGCTCCTTGTTGGCGGCGGCGGTGGCCTCCCTGCGCAGAGCCTGAGCTACGGCCCTGGACGGAGCGGTGACGGCGGTCCAGTCGTGGGCGATGTACTGGTGGTACGGATCCTGAGAGCTCTCCAGCTTCTTGGAGCGAATGTAGCTAAACATGATGCCGAAGGTGAAGAAGCTGAACAGGCCGACCACTAGGAGGATGTACATGATGCCCTGAGACTGAGCGAGAGCTCCGGCCGGGTGCTGCACGGCCTGCTGGGAAGCGTAGTTGTGATGCTGCGTGCTCGAGGTGTTGAGGCATTGCTGCAGGAAGGAGAGCAGCAGCGACTGTAGCTCGGTGGAGTTGATGAGGGACATGACTGCACAATCAGCAAACTGCACCTGGAAGAAAAGAGGAAGATTCATCTGAGCAGAAAATACAAGTGATGTTGGAGTTTTGCTCAACTCATTTGGGCTGATACTGATTCATATACGCTTATTTTTTTCACCTCCTGTAGTTTAATTAACATACTATTATATGTACTTTCCGAATCTGCACATTCATTCAGTGAAAAGACAAAACTGTTTGAACGTACATGCAGAACAGTCGTATTTATTATTATGCAGCATTTTCTGATTTTTCATTTTCAAGCTGCAGCCATCATGCATCAATAGAAAATACTCTATGTTTCACTATTTTCTATTTCTCATGATTATAATCTCAAATTGTCTGTAATTCAGGTAAACAGTGAATCGGTTGTTACCTTCTAAACTGCCAGCAGCAGTTTCTCTGTTTTTTTTTTTGCTCCTGTCACATTTTTCCTCAGTGTTGGATTCTCTCTCACTGCAATATAAAGTCTTGCCCTCTATAGAAACACAATAACTATGACTAGGAGGGGAGAGAAGTCAGAAACGTCCTCTGTGCAGTATGACACAGACGGGGGGAACGGAATGGAATTAACATGTCCAACATTACATTTAGACAGGGTTCCTTCTGTTAGAAAACTCTCCTACTATTCTTCATATTTTAACTCTGATGAATGCAGCGTTCAGTGTTTGAGAGTCTTTCAGATTCTCCTGTGACAGTGTTCAGTTCTTGTTCTGTCACCCTGTTTCCGCCTCAGATCGTGATCATTTTTTAAATAGCTTTATAAGTAGACATTTAAGCTCCATTAAAAACAACAAATATGTCTATATTACAACATTCTTCTAACACAGAAGGAATCGTGTCTAGAAGATGATCCTGGTGTCAAATTCAGGTAAAAATGAGTCCTTTCATTTGCTATGTCTTGTTCTGACCAACCGTCTATCACACATGCTGATATGAGCCTTGACAGTTTACCTGACGTGCATTTTTTAAAGGCTTTCTCTGGTGAATGGTCAGGAAACACATCCAGGATACCAACACTTGTTGTCATAGACATTAAACTGCTGCAGGTTTGCTGTTGAAACTTGGATATATCCCATAATATTGATGCTCAAAGCTGGTTACAGAAATAAATTAACAAAACTGATTTAGTCTTTAGATTGTGACACCTGGAGCGAATGTCAAACTGATCTGGTTGCAGTTTTTAACAGAACCCAAGTGTGTTTTTCAGCCCTGAAAGTTTTGTGTGTCTATTTGCTGTACTTATGTAGAAGTTGTCCAAAACTATCCTAAAATGTCTTGAAATGTCCTACAAATAACTTAAAACATATTGTAAAATATTTAAAACAGCTCAAATGTGTTTCTTGTGTCTGTCTCCTGTACTTATGGAGTTATGAGGCTCAGAAATGATGGAAAATGTCAATTAAAACGGTGAAATCTGGACCCTCCTGGGCCTGTAAGTCTGAAAATATTCATAGTATGAAGGTAAAACTTTGCATGGCTTCATTAAATACACTAAAGTTATTGTAGATAAATAATCTGATTCTAATGAGGTCAGGTTTGAAGCTCTGACTGATCTTTTTTTTTTAGTCAAATCCCTTTCTAAGAAAAGTTCTAAAAATGAAGAAGTTTCCTGCAGGCATGAAGTAAAGCCTACCTGTGAACGATATGGAGTCAGTCGGTGGCATCAGCCATCTCAGTCTGTCGTCTCCAGCAGGACTCGAAGCAGCCGCTAGCTCAGGTAGTAAAAAGGTGAAGCGTCCACCTCGTCTCTTCGTCTGGGTGTGCCGTCCTTCACGCTGTTACGTGGAGGTTCAATATGTCAACACGTTTAATGAAACCAGGAGGTCACAGGGCAAGGTCAGGGGCTCAGTCCTGCACTGGTTCAATCAGCTGGGACCAAGCGTCTACTGAGCATGTTTAGTCATTAAATCGCAAGAAAAATGTGGTAAAGTCTGCAGAAAATATGAAGAATTGATCGTGTCCCTGCTGCTTAGAGGTTCTCTCACCCCAACTCTGATGTGTAACGGTAATTTGTGTGTTAAGATAAAAACCAGTCGCAGCAGGAGTGTGTAGAAGTTTCGTCAAGAACAAAGCTGCTTTCAGACCAGAGGTAGTTTAGACGCTCTGCAGAGCAGCTCAGACTGATCGAGTTACAACACCATCACCTCCAAATGTCCTTTAACTCACTGCTGCTGCTGGTGTGTGTTGCCTGAAACCTACAGTGAAGTGGAGTTTAAGATGCAGACAGAAATATTCAGTTTCTTCACAACGTATTTGTCGCACAAATTTATCTTACGTACAGATGTTCCCATCAGTCCACACTCAACGACCCAGAAGAGAAATGTATGAACATAAATGTAACTGTTGAGGTTTAAGTGTAAATTTGTGTTGAGCCCTTTCATTCATTTCTGGGTTTTTTTCTTCTCAGGAAACAACTGGATGAACATCTCTCTGACCCTGTAGAGGCACTGCAGCTTTTATTCACCAACATGTAGGTCTGACATCAAATCAGCATCAGTGAAGCTTAACAGAGTTTTTACACTTTTTCCAGAATGCCAAAGTTTAAACATGCTTTCAAATTTATTTTTATTTTTTTTGCAAGTTTACTAAAAATCTAAACTTGAGTTCTCTTATTTCTAAAAGCATTCAGAGCCTTTGTTATGGACTGTGGTCAGGTTTACGTTGTTTGCTTTACTTTTACGTCGTGTCCTCTCTGCTCTGTTGACAAACAGCCGGCAGTTCAGCCAAAAAGCAGCAGCTTTTTTTTTTTGTAACGACTGTTGGTCAAAGCTGAGTCACTAATGACTTCATGCTGAGAAGAGCAGAATTTGTGGCTTTTTGCAGAATCTGATTAGAGCAAACGGTATCCTGCAATTATTTTTAAATGAGACATATAAAGTAATAATTGATGGAATATGACAATTTTGAGATAGAAATGTGTTAAATTCCAACAGAATGTAACACCACGATTAATTCAAGGACCATCAGAAAGTTTAAAGTCCAGTGATTCTTTCTGTTTTTGTACTTTTCGGGATCTGATTAATATGTGTAATTTTGGTAATTTTATTAAAACACTAGTTGCATTTTAAACCTGGCAGCAGGTTTTGGGATACAGAAGATTAAAGGACTGAATACTTTGATAGGTGAGAGATTTTAGCTGTTGATTAGTGATAAATTTGCAAAAAATGCCATAAAAAAGTTTTCATTTTGTCATTCTGGGCTTCTTAGTGTAGATTGTGATGATGATGATTATCATTATCATTATTATCATTAGCAATGATAATAATAATAATAATAATTATTATTATTATAATTATTATAATTATAATAGTTGTATCCATTTGAAAGGAAATTTAAATCACTATAAGTAAAGGGGTCTGAATTCTGAAGCGGCTGTGTTTTGTGCTTCTCTTTTATAGTGACATTATTTAAAGACACAGAATCCAACAGTGAATCCAGCATTAACAAAAAAACTCAACTTTATTATCAGTCATTTACAAACTTGAGTAGACTGAAGTACACTGTAAAAAATCAGAAGTTTACAGTATTTTTTTTTTTTAATTGTAGAGAAAACTCAGTAACACTGTAGAGCCAGCAGTTATTTTAAACTTTAAACCAACTACATTTGTTTCCCATGTTTTTACTGAAAATTTACATTATTTTTTTCTGCTTTCTTAAAGTTCACATAGAATTCCATTAAACGATTACATTTATATGTATCTAAATATGTAGCTCTTTATATAAACCTTTATACCCATACTACCAATATAACCTTTTCCATAACGTGAGTCGTATGAGTTTTATTTGTTCTTTTACAGTCAAACTCTGTAATTCTGGACACAAACATAGCACATCTTTGATGACATCCAACACAATTCATGGACTTTATTTAAAGAGCACACGTGTGTTTTTTTTCAGAAAACATATAATACAATTGTCTGTAAATTTTTTTTTTTTCATGCAGTCATTTAAAATATGTAAGAAATATTGTAAAGAAAGACATCCTGCTAATGCTGAGCTGAACTAAAAAAAAAAAATTAAAAATTGCACATCCAGTCAAGATAGAAGCTAATATCAGCAAAAATGAAGAGCTGCTGTGGTTTCACAAAGATGTGTTCAAAGTTAAACACTCTGATGCCTCATCTGTGGCCCAGAATTTTCAGTTTATGAAAAAATCAATACAAAAATCGATATTTTAGCCTGAAACTACTAGCTGTTTCTTCAACACAAACTACCGTTAATCCTACAGAAACGACAGACAAGGCGTTCTGATTAATTCACTTTTTAAATATTTTTTATTTCAATGTCCCTTTGGAGATCAATAACGTTTTCTATTTCAACTAATACTAAAAATAATAAGTGAACAGTTTGAATAGTTTATCAGTATTACAGTATTTCTTTTCGTCTCTTTTGTGTTGTTTAAACGGTGTCTAATATTGCATAAAAAAATTAAAAACACTACTTTGGCTTTTTTGGTAATCATGGCTGACGTGTGATATTTTGAAGGCTGTTAACAATAAATAAAACCATTGAAAAAAATATAGAAACCCACAGATTTCTGCGCTGCCTATTGATAAGACATTTAAATTCAAACCTCTCCGACAGTCATTGTGTCGCTGACTTTAAAAAGATGTCGCCGCAACAAAAGGGTGAGTCCTGCAGAGATGATTTTCTTTTTACCTGTTGAGATACAAAATGAATATAAAAACACAAAAATATTTGTTCATACAAGGAAATACTCTACTTTTCAACTTAGAAGTAGTGCAACTTCTGTAAGGTGTTTTTTGTTTTGTTTTGCAAGCCAGTAAATGTGTAAACTGGTGACTTGAAATGTGACTCACCACTGATGTTACTCCAGCTGCACCCCGTCACAGTTGTCTTTTGATTCCAACAGTCTGGAAATATCAAAGGAAAGGGAGAATCATGTACTTCACTAATGTAAGACCACCTGACCTCAGTCTGTTGGTGAAAGGCTTAAGGTTTATTCTCAAACTAACAACTGAAAGATCAATAACTTACGCCGCCTGAGCCTTGAGAGCTTTACGAGCCTCTCGAGCCTCGTGTTCATCCCAAACCTTCCTGTAGCAGTAGACCAGAACCACGATGAGCCACAGCTGCAGAAACACGATCAGCACGTACATCATGATCTCTGCGATCACTGCAGTCAGCTCCCGATTGGCTGGAAAACAGGAAGCAGCAGCTCAACATTTTCAGTGTATGTTGTTCAGACTGTTTTATGTGCAAACTCCTACGAACAGTGGAAGTTAGAAATCCTCTCAATGCAAAGAAACGTTTGTCTTTCAGTCATGTCCTGTATTGCAGCGTCTTTCTACTTATTTAGTTGTTATCATAGTATTCTGTTTGAAGATTGTTTCTCCTTGCTTTATATTTGTTTAATGTTCTGAAATTGAATAAAATGGCAAACGTAAAAAAGGAAAGAGGAAAACTACCTACTTGTTGCATTGAGCTGCAGTTAATTAAACGGCCACTAGACGCTCCAAGACAGCTCCAGCGGATGTATAGTCATAGATTGTTTGTAAAAGATGGATGCAGCCTCCAGGTCCAAAAAGTGAAGCCTTATGCTGTGTTCACACCAAATCATTCGCGCAAATCATTTACATGTAAAGTCAGTGTGAAGATGTGATTAGACGCGAGTAAACATCCCACGGTGCAAATTGCGCGATTAGCGTGGCGGGAATCATGCGAATTGAGCAAGTTATTCGCAGGAATGACGCAATTCTCGCCGCACTAAACATGCGTAACACGCAAATGATGCAAATTCGTGTTAGATGCACAAGTTGAAAAATCTGAACTTTTGCAATCTTTCGCGCCACGATGACCAATCAGCGTTGAGATTCTCTGGTGAAGTCAAGAACATGATTCATTCATTTTTTTGCAACTACACTGTGAATACTGATTTACTCACCTCAGTAGATAAGTAGCTACATAACTGGCCAGTTCACACACAAGAATGCCACCTCTTCAACTTAGCAAGCTTGCGAGCCGAGTTGCTTGCTATCACAATGCAAGCGGGATGAACCTCCACTAGCTCCTCGTCGCTGTGGTCAACGTACTCCTGCTGGCGGCCGCTTGTCTGTGTTGTTGTATGTGATGAGGAAAAAACATGGCTCTATCCCAGCCAGCGCCTGTAGTTAGTATCCTGGAGGGATATCCTGGTACTGATCCTCTCCAACAGGTAGTCAAACTGGGTCTGGGCCAGCTGAAAACAGCGCTGGAAGTGGCCGTCATCCAGGCGCAGCTCCTGGAGGAGGTGGGGGAATTGTCCGAGCTGTGTGTGTCTCTGGGGGATCCCATGGATCCGGACATGGCGGCATCTGGATCGTGTCATTCGCGCAAATGACAGGAATCCAGACACGAATCTTGATGCACCAATGACACAACTTATTCACGCAAATGAAGCGAGTAAACCCAGTGCACACACGCGTCCAAATATGCGCGAGTTGTGCGAATAGTGCGATGAATTCATGTCTGGTGTGAACACAGCATTAAACCTGCGCTCTTTCTAACAGCCAGCAGGGGGCGACTCCTCTGGCAGTCACATTATGAGAACTCTATGAGGAAAACGCTTTACTTCTTCCTTGATTTGTTACCTCAATAAACATTTTCGTAAGGAGCTTATGGTCTCTATTGCTAGTTTCATGTTTCCTTCAACACAGCAGAGTGATCATTTGGTAAATCATGGTCCCGTTCAGAGGAAAAATACATGATAAAGATTCATTTGTTTTATGGTGTTATTGACTTGTTGTCACCATATCAGTGTTTGTAGTGTCCAGTTTTAAAAGACTAAAATGGTGACAGCCAAATTCCAAACTTGAAGCTTCAAAATAGATGTCCACAGCTGTGTTTTCTTTTATATTCAGTCTGTGCCTATATTAAAAGGATGACATCTAAAATAGCTGTGTGTCCATGACAGACTTAAGTTAGTCAGGTAGATATGTTTAATATTGTAGTGCCTCAACATTAGTATTTAAATTAGCCAGGTAAATTTGTATTTCATATAATATTGTAGCTTCTTAACCTTAATTTTGAACTTATGTAAATTCATAACACCAGTCTTATTTCTCTGATGGAATTCAGAACCGTTGCTTTTAAAGTCATATATAAATGACTTCACTTTTAAGGTTTTATTGAGTTTCTCCTTTTTTACTTGAGTCTGTTCCGCTCCAGTCATTGTGTGTCTGTTGTGTACTGGAGGTGTAAATATCCAGTTATTCACAAGATTAGATAAAAATGTAATCTAAAACTTTTTACTGTCTGAATCACCTCACGGATCCTACAGCCGGATTCATCTTGTCGTTTTGGTAAAATGCTGTGCATGACGTGATGCATCAACATTAATTATCAGACAATGTGATGATGATGATGATGATGATGATGATGATGAATCCACCACAGGGGGCTTTTTGTTGCAAGATTCTAAATTCTTATACTTTAAGCCGACAAAAGTTCTGTTCGTTTATTTAAATCGAGGTGGTTTGATATTTTACTTGTAGTAGAATATTTTTGAAGTGCGAGTGATGTGATTGTGTTGACGTGCAGGTCGGCCCGTCCTCACCGACGACCACCACGCTGAGCTCCACCTCCTTCTCCACGGTGACGTGCTGATCGGACAGCGACAGGAAAAGCGTCCGGTGGAAGGTGCAGCGGTACGTGCCCGTGTCGTTGAAGGTGACGTTGTGCAAGTAAACGGCACCGGTCTGAATGTCACCGTTTCGGGTTCCCTGCCACTCCAGACGGCCGCTGAAATCTTCGTGGAGGATTTCGGCAGTCGGGTGGTTGTAGTGGAAAATCTGAGAGAAGAAAAGCTTGTTACAGATGGGAGACTTCCTCCATGGAGTTGCTGCCTTTTGCAGTGCAGATATTTATTAGACGCCTCTCAGCAGGTGGTAAAGAGAAACAACAGCCCATCGTTTCTTTAGGACATGAAGATCAGTCAGACCAGAACATTTCAAAATCAAAGTGACTTCGATGAAGATGCCTCGAGAACTAAGATGAAAAGGACAAGTTCGTTAGAGTCAGCAGCCGCACATGCGCACAGACGCAAAACAACTGAAAAGGACAGAAAACAACCACACGAACCAGAGAGATACGCCATGAAGAAAAATGAAGAACTCTCTCTATTTTTTTGTTACTATAGAGTCAGCATTAAAATACAGAAAATCTCCTGTTATTTAACTGTGGACATGCTGTTAAACACTTAAAAAGTTTTTGCTTCTTAATCACAGGATGAAGGCAACTAATGAGGAGCTGCAGCACATTTACTGATATTTTATGGATGTATTTAATATTTGTGGTTTTGACACTGTAGATGTAACATTAAATAACAGAAAATGTCCTGTTGTTCATTGTAGATACACCATCAAATAACAGCAATTGTCAGTTGTTGTTTTTTTTTTTTAAATCAAATAACTATTAAATAACAGGAAAATGTTCTGTTTTTCATTATAGACACCGCTAGAAAACTCAAAAAAATGTTTTTTTTTTTAAAAAAAACTATAGAGTTACGATTAAACTACAGATAATATCCTGTTTTTTATTTTTAATGTGGACTCACTGTTAATTAACAGAGAGTTTCTGATTTTTGAATCACAGGACAAAGTCTGGATAATGAGATGTCAGAACATTTACTGTTATTTTACAGAATTATTTAACATTTGCAGTGTATAAATGTAGAAATACGAAAAACAACATAAATACCCCATTTTTCATTGTTGTTTAACCATTAAATAACAGGAAAATGATCTGTTTTTCACTTTACATGTGTATATATATATATATAAAATATGTAAATTGTAGTTTTTTACTGTAGAGTCATGTCCTGGTTGTTTTTTGTTTGTTTTTACAGTGGACACACTGTTAATTGGCAGAAGATACCTGTTTAATTATTAGGTCCAGCTCACGAGCTCCCAATACATTTTGCTGTTGCTGTACTGCAGTTTTTATACAGCAGAGCAGATATACCATTTAAATAAGAGAACATATACTATTTTTCATTATAGATAAACCATTAAATATTAGCAAATGTTATTTTTATTATTATTATTATTATTATTATTAACAATTCAAAAATAGAAATAGAAGGAAATGTTTAGTTTTTGTGTACCTTTCAAAATTTGACACTAAGTGTTGCTATTGAGTCACCACTGACGTACAGAGAGTTATTTTACTGTGGCCACACTGTCGATTGCACTTTCTTCAATTACAGGACAAAGTCTGGGTAATGAGCTGCAGTAAATTCATTATTTTATGCATTTTATGGATTTCTTAGGTAGTTTTTTTTTTTTTTTTTTTTTAATCCACAAACTTGAACCAGACTTCACAGCAGAGGCCTGAGAACCTCAGTTGAACTCACATGCCTGAAGTGTTCATCGCCCGGCGGTCTGAAGTGCCAGTCCACCGTGGCTTGGGCTGAAACCTCCTCTCTCTTCTTACAGGAGATGCATCCCAGCAGGAATCCTTCTCCGGCCACAGCTTCAGTCATAGAGTCCACCTCTGCACAGCCGCCATCACACTGACACACTACAGGAGAGGAACAAGAGAGGGCTCAAATCTAAGTGTAAGAATATACAAGTGTATTAAACATAGAGTCAAGTATTAAGTCACATTTGTCAGAATGAATGCTGCACTGCATCTTCACACAGCGAGTGCTTTACTTTGGACATAAAAGTACAAATATAAAAGAAACACAAGGCAATATAACGTGGATTCACACACAGGCAAATAGAAGTAAAAATTAAACTTTAAAAACTACAATGTAGTGAAAGATACTTTAAATAATCTAGAATTATATTTGAAAGACCCCGATCCTGGATAAGCGGAAAAAATGGATGGATGGCTGTATTTGAAAGGAAAAAAATAACATGTTTCTGATAGATACAACATGGAATTTGTCTCTTATTGCCATAATAGCCTCATTTTCTGCCTTAGAAATGTTTGTTATTCGGAATGTATATGATTTTTAATGGGTCCAGTAGAATAAATGTTTAAATAATTGTGCTTTTTCTCCCCTATTAGTCAGTAACGTTTACCAGCATGACAATTTTTACACATAATTACAGTATTTTACGTGTAGTTGTGTTCATGACTTCTTTTACAGCTGTTATGATTTATTCCTTTTAACCCCCTGAACTCAAAGCAGCATTTTTTTTTTTTTTTTAGTCCTGTTGCATTTTTCCTGAGAATTTTTATCACATGACTTGTGGTCACAGCTGAGTCGGTCATGGCTTCTCAGCTGTGTCGAGGATTTTGTTTTAGATTTTTAACAGAATCAGATTACTGCAAACCGTTTGTTTTTGGTAGATTTTTAAATGAGATGTGTAGAATGAAGTGATTCTGATGAAATATGACTTTGAGCTTATGATGAGTAGTTCAAAGACTGTTAGAAAGTAGAAAATCTAACACTTCTTTATGTTAAACAACACGCCTTTCAAACCCACCGTGTATTTTGGGATTATTTTATTACACAAGAAGACAAGAAGATCAAATGTGCAACTTCAAACACCCATACGAACAGTTTCTCACCATTAAAGCTGTGGCCATGAAGGAGTTTGAACTTACCGAACAGGCTGAAGGCAGCTAAAAAAGACAGGTGGAATATCATTTCTGCTGCTCGGCTGTGGGACAATATCTGTGTCGAGTGAGATTAAATGACGACCAGAACAGCCTTTTGATTTCTGACTGTTTCCATGACGAAGCCCTCTAATCCACACTGTCAGTCCATCACTGCTTCACAGAGGCCAAAACTGCCCAAGAGCCTCACGGCACAGAAGGATTTCAGTGGGGAAAAAAAAGTAAAGTTTCTGCGTTTCTTGGCCGTAGTTTGAAGTCTTCTCTGTAGTCCTGTCTGACTTTAAGGCGGCTAAATTTAGAGCGTGTGAATCTAGGAGAGTTGGACGCTGCAAGTGTCGAAAGCCAGCAGGAAACCGGAGATGATGAGACCTGACCCCAACTACAACATCCAGAGCAACAGCCACGAGGACTGGGATTTAGAAAGCTGTCTTAAGTAACAGTGCATTACTTAAAATATTTCTAAGAAGTGAATATGTTGAAAACCCATGCAGGCTGTTCTTATTACCATTTCTTTTAATATAATCTGCCAGAGTCTTTTCACGCTGCTCTGTTTCCTGCTCGTTCTTTACCAAAAGCAGCAGCTTCATGCAAAACCAACGCAGACATGTTTTGTTAAACAAATCTGCAGCGAGCAGCCATGCAGAGGTTTACGGGACGACCATTACGTTTTGCTGTCTTGTTTATTTTTTTCTTTGTGTTGTTCTGCTCCTATCTGCAGGTCGGAGGTCACGGTCGAGCCCGAGGCCAGTAGAGTTTCTCTGGAGGACGCCTCGGCAGAGATGGAGTGTTTTTACTGTTACTGAAATTGCATTTTAGCATCTCAGCAATGCACCAATACTATTTAGAATACTTTATTCATATAAGGAAGACCAGAAGTGGTGTTTATCAAGCCTCAAGCAGATATAAGATATTTATTCAGAGTGACATATGGATGAATAGCCCTGGTCCGCCTGTTTCAACCTGGGTTGTACTTTCTATTTGTCCCTCAGTAAATCTTCTTTATGTTATTTATTTGATTACAGGGTCGTATCAGGTAAATATTGGTGCCTACAGGTGTCTGGTCCCTGGTTAAGCTTTGTACAAACAGCCATACAGATGCAGCAGAATCACAAGAAACCTGTTTGGATGTGTTTATCTAATTGTGACGTATTTAACTCACTTTCAGTGAACAATTTTAACTTTCAGCTATACTTTTAGCCTACAATTTCAATTGGTAATCCACACTTCTAGTTGAAAATTTCAACACTTAATTTACATTTTAGAAGTTATTTCTACATAGCTTTAGCTCACTGTCTCAGCCGCTTACAGAGTGGACTAGGTTGAGCTAAAAATTTGAAATGTTAGCCATAACTTGTGCTAACAATTTCAATTGTTAATTCACATTTTTAGCTTACAATTTCAAACATTATTTTATACTTTTAAGTTAACATCCATCCATTCATTAGCTATACACCGCTTAATCATCTGTATGGTTTTCTCAGGGTGAAGGCAGGAGACACTCTGGACAGGTCACCAGTCTATCACAGGGCTGCACTTAGAGACAGACAACCAAGCACACTCACATTCACATCTATGGACAATTTAGAATCACCAATTAACCTCAACATGTTTTTGGACCTTGTGGGAGGAAGCCGGAGAACCCGGAGACACTCCATGCAGAAAGATCCTGGGTGTCCTCACCAGGACGCGAACCAGCGACCATCTTGCTGCGAGGCAATGACGCTAACCTGTGCGCCACCTTGCCACCCACTTTTGATATAATAATTGAAATTGTTAAGTCACACTTTTAACTAACCATTTCAACCATTATTTCACACTTTTAGAAGTTTTTTTATCCATAGCTTTGGCTCACTATTTTAGCTGTTTATTCATTATGTTTAGCTAGCAATTTTAAATGTTAGCCATACTTTTAGCTAACAGTTTCAGTTGTTAATCCGTGCTTTTAGCTAACCACTATTTAATCCATTTATTTACTGTCATCTATTTATTTAAATGATTTATGCATTTTTAGCTGCCTGTTTCAACTGTGTATCAACTACTGTAGATGACTATTAGCTTTTATTGCTCCAGCTTGATTCTCTCAATTCTGTAATTATGATTTCTGTTTTTTGACAGTGTTCTTCCTCTATTATCAGGTCATGTTTTGGGAACATTGTATAGATGGTCCAATATGTTCCATCAACGACCTTCCTAAAACAGTCTCAGAACATTAATTCAGTTCAATTTTATTTGTACAGCGCAGTTTACAACACGTTATCACACAGCGCTTAACAAAGTAAGGTATAGACCTTACAAAGATTACAGGCAGAATGTTCAACCTTTGTTAATAAGGTTATAGGAAAGTTGTATAAAAATAATCACCTGAAGCCTCAATATACCTGGAAAACATTTTTTGAATGTTCGAGAATGTTTCTCCTTGTTATCAATGTTTTATGTAATAACGTTCTGTAATGTGTTGCTCGACAACGTCCTACAGGAAGAATGTTCCATCTTTGTTATTATATCACATTACAAGAACTTGTTGTAAAAAAAAAAATATCTGAGGCTTTGATAACATCTGGAAAATATTTTTTGAATGTTGATTTGAAAATATTCCTACTTTCTTATAATAGAACATAAGCTGTGGTTTTGACAACATTCTCTGTATGTTGACATTAGATCATTATTACAACTTAATAGGAACACTATTTGAAAATAAAATACTCTCATGTTGCTCTTTGAACATTTGATTGGATTTTTAAAAACAGTCACTAGAACTTTTTAAACCATTATATAAACTTTATTAGAACATTATCGGATATAAAGATGCTATTAAAACGTTCTTTAAACACTTTATTAAAATTTTTTTTAAAAATTACATAATATTACATAAACTTTAAAAGAACATGATTGGAAATGAAAATATTCTTACGATGTTATTTGAACATTGGATTGAAATATTAAAAAGAAATACAAGAACTTTTACATGAATCTGACAGGAATATTATCAGAAAAAAACGTTTTGGTTTTTTAAAATTCTTTGAACATTTGATTGAAACTTTTTTTTTTTTAAATACTGGAATTTGTCAAACTGTTATACAAACATTATAGGGACATTATTGAAAATGAAACTGCTCTTGAAACATTCTTTTATTTATTTTTTGATTATTTAATTACTAGAACTTGTTAAACCATTATACAAACTTTATAGGAACATTATATATATATAATTTATTTTTCCTTTAAACGATCTTTGAACATTTGCTTAAAACGTTTTCTTCAAAAAACAATTCTAGAACTTGTAGGTAGAATTCGGTGACACTGGCTGCTAGCTGAGAAGTAACCCTGTGGAGTTTCCTATTCCTTCACCCCATCTAAAAAAAAAATAAAATAAAAATCCTGAAAACACTAATTTCACATATATTCAGTTCAACAGCTACGAATTGAATCAAACCTTCTTATCATTTTTGATATCTGCCAGTCAATGTCAGGACAACAAGGCCACTGAAGTGAAGGCTGACAAAACACACGGTGAGTGACAAAGAGCTTCACGTGGTGGACACAGGCGGCGTGTTGACGTGATGGATATAATGAGGTGGGGCTTTATTTTTTTAAAGGGGCTCGGCTGGAGGCGTGTCAGGTCAGATTAAACACGTCTGAGGTCAAAGAAATATGTACAAAATCAAGGTTTGTGTGTGCGAGCTTCCTGCCAGGTTGTGTGTGTTTGGAGGTCAGGGATGCTGTCATGTGATGTCGCCTCCTGTAACCTTGTGTTGGCCTGCAAATGATAATGATCCCACATGAAAACTATACATGTGACCAAGAGACGGTGAAAGAAATTCCACAAACATGAGGGGGGGTGTTTCAAGGAAATGTTGACATATGATAAACCCTCTGTGTGTGTGTGTGTGTGTGTGTGTGTGTGTGTGTGTGTGTGTGTGTTGCACCACTGTGACCCCACACACGCACAAACACAACGAGTGACACACCTCCTTCTCGCTATGCTGGTGATGTTTTTTATTTTTAGCGCAGATCGAGTTTCCAGCCCCCCGATTCAGCAGCAGCTCAGCAACACGACTCCCTGCAGCCCGGAGCAGAGCAGCTTCTGTCCAGAGCTCAAACTGCAACGCAGACGTCGACTCTCGAGTGTGGATTGCAGGAGGCAGTGAGGCGACAGGAGATGATGCCTTGTGAACCTATGGAGGATCTGAAATTGCCAAGTCACTGTGATGCTGTGCCATCGATTTGACAGGACACAGAAGCAACTGCTGGCTCAGGATCCAAACTGGCAGGCAGGTAAAAGGAAAATTCAGCATCTGTGTTTTTACACATACTGTATATTCCCCATAAAACTGCTGCCTATGTAATTGTTTCCATCAGGGCTGTACTAGAGCTGCCGCAATGACTCAATTACTTGTTCGCTTTTTAATTCATCTGTAATTATTTCAATAACTTATTCATCTATGAGTATTTTTTAATTAAAAACTGTCTAAATTATGTGATTCTAGCCTCTTTAATGTGAATATTTTCAGGTTTGTTTACTCCTCTATGACAGTGTCTTTGGACAAAACAAGCCATTGTCAATTTTTACATTTATTGGAAACTATCAATAAATATCAAATCAAATCACAGATATTTAGACAGCACATTTGAAGCATCACACCCTGTGGTGCTGCTAGTTATGGAGGTTAACTTGAGTGATTTAAAAGTAAAGTTAAAACCTTACAAAAATATAAATAAATAAATCAATTTGAGTTTTTTTGGGAGGTTTGCTTATATTTATACATCTAAATTCTGTGATTGCAGCTTCTTAAATGTGAATATTTTCTGGTGTATTTTATCTTTTACAGAACAAACAATTAATCAGAGTAGTTCTCAACTATTAGGTTAAAAGTCAACTATTTTCATAAGGGAAATCACAAATTTCATGCAGAACATTTAAAACAACAGCTGTTCAGCCAAAGTTAAGATGATTCAAAAATATTATCATTAAAACAGTTCAAGTAATTAAAAAAAAACACAAAAAACATGGTCTATATTCTGTGATTCCAGCTTCTTAAATATGAATACTTTCTGGTTGCTTTCCTCCTCTGTGACAAGAAACTGAATATCATTGGACAAAAAAATACATTTCTTGCCCTTTTCTGACATTTTAGAGACCAAGCAGCTGATCGATTAACCAGAACATAATCTATGGATTAATTGATAATGAAAATATTAGTTACTTGCAGTGTCACTGTAAACAGCTCTGCTTTATAGTAAAGTGTAGTTTCTGAAATGTGCTTTCCTCTGTCCTGTTGTGTATTTTTATAAAGTCTGGTACAGTCAGTGCTCAACATTATCAATGTGATGACATTCCTAAATCCACAAAAGCTAAACTTATATTTGCATTAATTAGTTCGCTGATCAGCAAAAATGTAAGTGGCAATTATTTGGATAACTTTAGATTTTCATGCAAAACTTCAGTTCTTACGAGTTATTGTCTTTCATTTTCTTGTTATAAAGAGTTAGAAATTGTTCCCTAATTGATTGTTGAATAAATTCATTCATCCTTTATTTAAACTCCGATGTGTGAAGGCCTCAGGTACATTTTATCTGGTTGAGAAAATGAAAGATGTAGGCACACAAATGTGATAACAATAAAGACAAAGTCAGTAAGAAAAAATACCCCAAACTGAAAAAATATTAAAAACTTAAAAACAAATGAATCAGCTAAAAGAAGAACAGCTGGATGTAAAATGAGATTAAGTTAGAACCCCAGATGAGTCAAGCTTTGGACTGTTCTGCATGTGATTCAGAGAAGAACTGCCTCATAAAAATCAAAATCTGTTAAAATCCCCCCCCCCACACACACACACACACACATTATCTGAACTCAAAGCCTGCTTTTTGTTTTCAGCTGCTGTCTTTGTGTCACTGTATATATGTGAACTGGAGGAGATGGTTTCCAGTCTCCTGAGAGCTGCATCCAACTTTTAACAGTCAGTGAGATGCATGAAGTGATGCTGCTGCAAGAAACAGGAGGTGAGATGAATATCTGCCACACATTCTCCCTTTTAAAAATGTATTTATTTTACTGTTTTTATATAATCTATGCTTCAATGTGGATTTAGAAAACTCTCATAGTTTCATAGAAATTCAGTGAGGTGCAAACAGCCTTGTTAGACACAAGAGGTCGCACTGTTACAGGACTTTGATCACAGCAGCTTCCTTCAAATAAACTCTGAAACTGTGCAGGTCTGTGGATTTACCTGTTGCTTTAGGGGGGGAAATCTTTTCTTTCTTTCTTTTTTTTTTATTTTTTTTTTTACCAGAAATTCTTCATTCGTTGGATTCTCTGCGTAGTTAAACAACCCAGCTGTAACAACAGTCCACGCAGGCAGCATGACATACTTGTTGATTATAATATTAAAGTCGACGAATGACTTTGAAAAAACAGTTTTCGGTGGATTGTGCGTGTTTGATGTAAACACTCTTCTTGTTCTCGCCACATCCTCTGGACAGTTATTTTCACAGACTGTACCACAAAGTTTCCCGGAGGGGGTGTTCGCTTTATTGTGCTTGTAAATGCGCATAATCCACCTCTCGTTGATTCCTTAAGCTTATAGCGTCTATTATTTTCGGGAAGATGTGTTTTTGTTTGTGTGTTGTAAAAAGAAAATCAGCAGCGATGGCACATTTATTTGATGCGACTTGTCGTATACCCCTCCAGTGTGTCGAGTAAATCGTCCCACTTCGATCCTTTTCACTTTTCGACAAAAAACGTTTTACTTTAAACCAAGTTAGTACGCTACTGATGCGAAGCTAGCCTTCCCCGTCGTATTTAAATGTAGTTTGATAACAGTGTTTTATACAGAGGTGTTTTTAGAGTTGAAATGGAAGACAGCGGAATAGTGGTTTGTCTGCTGGAAATTGAAGCCTGGTAGCCGGATAGTCATCTTTTTGTGAGCCGTCGGCCTTCGGAGGTTAGCTGACTTTAGCGTTAGCTTGCTACAGGCTAACTGTTAGCTGCGGCCGGCTGATGCCTCTCTGACAATGTTGATGTGTTCCTGTGAGAAAGTGGATTTTAACATCACCTCCCGCACTGTGGCTCGGCTGGTTTTCGAGGCCGAACAAGATAACAGAAACGGAGGAAACTCGTCCAATGGGAGGTAGGAGCTCCAAGTTTGGTCTTATCAGAAAACTACAGGGTACTTTTTGTTTTTCTGTGCCATGTTTTTAAATACCGTTTGTTTCTGCACGCCCTTTAAGTCTGGAGATCGTCGGATAATTCATTTGCAACCTAAAGGAAAAGTACTTCCGTTCCCTGTTTTGAAACTACTAACAAGAAAAAAACAGTTTCAAGTGTCGGATAAAAAGCACAGTCAAGCATGGTCCATTTTTGGTTTTTGTTGATTCCTTTTTTAAAACTAAAAAATGAAAGTGAACAGGCTGTTCTGTTTTGTTTTTATTATTTTATTTTAAACCAAGTCACGTTGGCCAAAGGAAAAAGGAGAATACTAAACTCAAAAAAGCTCCAGTTTAGTTTTTTTATTAACGACTTTGTCTTAATATCTAACAAAAGAACAAAACAAACTAATGCCTTTCTGTTGCCTTTGTAGATCTATCTCTCTATGCATTATTAATCTATTCATTAATCTATCAATTTAACAATCTGATAGACTGATTATTGTTTTTGCCAAAACCAATATTCAGTTATTCAGTGTTTTACCCATCATCGTTATTTAATTTTAACTGATTTTGTGTAAAATAAATAAACCTACATATGACTTACTTTGGCTCAGATGGAGCTTTCTGTCTGTGTGGTCTCAGCAACATCCCGCCCACGGATCCATCTGATTGGGTCCACATCATGAGTAACAGCCAATCAACACTCAAGGTTAAAGTTCTCTTTAAATTAAACATTTAAAACATAAACAAACAAAAGAACTTCAACAAACTTTTGTGTTAGAGTTTGTGTTATTCTAAATTGTGGAACAAAGAACTTAACGACAATTGTCTGGCAGGTATTGATCTTCAATCTCTTTGGTTACTGATAATCTGCATTAGCTCGAAAAACAACCATGTCAGTCGACCCTGACTATCTTACATTTTTTATGCTGGTATTAAAAAACAATTTTTTCATGTTCCTATTGTAAAGAATGACCATTCAGCTGGAGAGTTTTTTGAATTTGGTCTTCTTGGTCTGCCAGGACCCAATGAGCCTTTATTTACACTTTTTAGCACCTTTTTATTTTCTACCTCTAATATGTTTGATGTGTGGGCTCCTGGTTACCTAAATTTTCATTGAAGGGATGAGTAATATATCGATCTTGTTTTTTTGTTTGAAAACAAAAAAAACAAAAATCAAATCGACCTGGGGATTTTGGTTTGCTAAATTGCCAAAAACTTCATTGGTTTTTAAGTTTTGATTCTGACACCTCGAATGTTTTTTTTTTTTTTTTTGTCTTCTGTTTTAGGGGTTTAAGGAGTAGAAATAAAGAAATTTTGTTTAGTTTTTTGTTTTTGAATCGTGAATGAAGTACAACTTCTCCAATGGCAGCATCACACACAGCAATGTGGTGGCATTTCACACAGCTGCAGCTCATTCAGGTGGTTTCTTAAGCCACCAGGACCTGAGCCACACCAATGCTGAGTGATTAACTTGATATCACCACATCAGCTGTTCCTGAGAGCTCACTGCACACAACAGAGGTTGGCTTGTTTGTGCTGCAGTGTTGTGCAGCTGAAAAGCAATGGTCGGTGTGTAGGTGCGATAATAGCTTGAGATGGCCTGTATTTTATGGGCAAAAAAAAGATCAGGCTTGTGTGGACTGAGGAGTGAAGGCTGCACGGGGATTACGGTGGATTACTGTGGACAAACAAGTCGGTGCCAAGATTGTTCTTGTTCAAACAGATCACATCAAATACTGTCAGACGTGCTCAGGCCTTGGCTTTGGAAGTGCCTGCTTTGAAGGCAAACAATGGAGTGACACACACACACAACCCTGCTCTGTTGGAGGACACATTTGCAGTATGCTTTCTTGTCGTTATGACCTTGGTAGCCTATAGTGGCATTTAGACCTTGTTATTAGTATTTCCAGAGGGTGTGTTGTTTATGTCTGCTGCAGTCTGAAGTTGCTGTGTGAGGTTGTGAGTTTGTTCTGTCTAAGCACTTTAAGGATCAGCTGTGTTGTTGTACATTGAGGTTTGAAAACGGTGGTTTAAAATGGTTTATATAGATCACACAATAATCTGATTTCTCATGGAATGTTTCAGAGTTATTTGAAGGGAGCATTTTTAATAATAATGCTGCACAGGAGTGCATACAACATAAATTCCCTCATTGTAAATATATCCTATTGATCAGTCTTTTAACGGAAACATTAGTCATTCCTAGACATCATTTTTATCATATGATATCTCATTTCTAGAACTGGCAGAGCAGACAGAAATAGCCCTCATCTCACAGTCATTTATTTTAATGGAAAACACTTCATATTTTGAGAAGCAGTAGTCAAGTTCAGGCAGGCCAGTGTTCTGAATGCAAAGTTTCTGCTCTTTTCACTCCTCAGGTAGTTTCTTCCAAACACAGATCTGTCTCTGTCTTACTCTTCAGCTCTCACAAAGATGAAAATGATTAAACAAAAGCAAGTCTACCACAAGGACAAGACAAGAGGAGCTCTAAAGAAAGAGTGACGCCAGACAGTGCAGAAGGTGCGGAGGTGGGATGCAGCATTTTTGCCTGTTTTTGCCAAGTAATACACAGACTGGATGCCTGGAAATGGCTTGGCTACACAACAGAAACTGAGAAAGACGTGAAATCCTCCACCCAGTGTCTTGCTGCATAATTTTTTACTGTCAAACACCCACTTCAGAACTAGTCTCTGGATCTTATCTGATGAGACAAAACTTTCTCAAGTTGACAACTAACATGAGGACTAATTAACTATTTTTGTCATTGGTACTTAAGAAATCAGTTTTTTTGTTTGTTTTTTTTGACCTGAAGGGAGTGTGACTGCGATGTCATGGTCAGCCATGGGTCAGTCGCGGCTCTAATAGTTGCAACCTTGACTTGACTGATTGAGTAAATTGTGCCCTGGAAAGCTCAGAAGATGACGATGTCCTCTCCTGTGAGACCAGAGGCTCTGACTCTGACTCAACCCATCCCCGTCCCCACGCTGACTGTCCTGCCGCCATCCTCCGATACAGACTCATGGTCTCGCTCCCCCAGCCCCCGGCTGTCGCGCTCCAGCCGCCTAAATCGGTCCCACCGCAGCAGGACCCGAACCAAGAGGCGAAACGAAGACGAGCAGGGCTGCACCCCGAAGCTACAATGGGGTAAAACACCACAAATTGTAATAGAGGAGCCTGCGCAGAGGGGCGCTGTTCGACACCGGAGCCCCTCGCCCTCCCCCTCGCTGGCCACACAGATGGAGGGAGAAGAGGGAGGTCAGGAAAGCCCTTCACACGACCTCCTCCTGCCTCCCCCTCGCTCTGGGTCTCGTAGCCCCTCACCCAGCCGGCGCTCCCGCTGGTCCCTCAGGAGCCTCCTGAGCAGAGACTCTGACTGGGACAGCTGCAGGTTAGTGGAGCAGCAAAGGACGCTGCACGTTCAGGACCACATTATTAGGACCCATGTTGCTCATGAACTCCACTTTGTTTACTCCAAAGGGCAGCACAGACAAAAAAAAACAAAAACATGTACAGTTTTGAATGTAACTTTTTATTTAGAAAGGGCATTTTTGATAGAATATATCTTTAAAACTCTAAGTACTTAAACAGAAGGCAGTACTGTGAGTGTAATAAACCTTAAAGCCCATAAATTGAGTTGGAAAATACAATTCAGGTCAATCAATCCTTAAAACTTTTAGTACTTGGTCAGAAAGTATTATTTTAGGTGAAATAAACATTTAAAACCACAACTTGTTAGTTAGAAAGTGATATTTTGAGTGATATAAACTTTTAAAACTATGAAAGCCTGAACAGAAAACAGTATTTTGGGTGGAATAAACCTTTTTAACACCATAAATTGTTATTTAGAGAGCAGATTATACCTTTAAAACTATAAGTACTGGAACACGTAGTATTTTGGGGAAAATGAACCTTTTTAAAGCACAACTAGTTAATTAGAAAGTAAGAACTTGAACACGAAGTAGTATTTTGCATTGTATGAACTTTTAAAACAATGACTTGTATGTTAGAAAATCCAGTGTAGTCCAGAGTAAGTTTTTGGACAAAAAGTGGCATTTTTTTGTGGAATAAGCCTGTTAGGTCATGCTATTTGGGTGGAGTAAACCTTTAAAACCAAAAAACTTTGACAAAAAGGAGTATGTTGAGTGCAACAAAACAAAAACTACTAGTGTAAAAGTTTAACTTTTTCCATCAGTTATTTAAGAAAGTGATGATCTATGTCTTAGACTCCATACACATGAAGTTCAATATTTAAGGCTTTTTTTGTTTTCCTTTTGATAGTTCTTGCTTATGCTAGTATAAATCGTGCACTTTAGCGACCATCCTGTTCGGCAGGTGTCGCTGTCTTGACAAATAAGGGTCCTAAAAGTGTGGCTCTGAGGCTGCAGCCTCCTCTGCTGCAGACATATCATACTGTGTTAGTGTCCTGGAATCATCCCAAATAACCAGCTAGTGATTAAAAGGCTAATGTGCAGCATTTTCCTGCTTCCTCGTGAGCAGAGGCCCAAGTGTTGTTCTCTTGAGGATGGCCTCACTTATCTCACTGCAGCAGCACATAAAGTTCAGTGGCTCAGAACAGAGCGTCCACACTGTCAGCACTATGTTTGACTGCCTCATGGGTATTCTACGCTTATAGCTCTGTAAAACCTCAGCCAATTTGCATTCAGGCCTACTGAGACGGGATTTGCCTGCTGTGACTGACGGCAGTGAGTTGCCGCTCATTTGTGAGTGCTGGTGTGGAATAAAAAGCCCTTACATATGACAGATTTACGCTTAGTCGACTTTTCTCAATCGCTGCAGCGGGTCAACTATTCAGGAGCAGGCTGGAGTTAATTAGCTAATGGCTAGAACTAGTGAGGGCAGATTACACTGTTAAAATCCTGATTAAGTTCAGTTGATTCATGGTGCATGATGACGTCAGCTGGAAAAGCAGGCCAGACGGTAGAATTTTGGTGAAGAAGCAGAAACACCTCTGCTG